GTACAACTTGGTACCACTGCCTTTATTTGCTATACTAACCGATCGCTGCTTTTGCACTAGTGCACATGTCAACAGAGTGAAAAAAAAAAACACATTACATTTTAGTATAATCATGAAAATAGTTTTTTAAAAAATTTGTTGGGGTGACATTGGTTCATAAGATCATACAGGTTTCAAGTGTGCATTTCTATGATACATGATCTGTATATTGCATTGTGTGCCCACCACCCAAAGTCAAACCATCTTTTGTCACTATATATTAGGTCTCCTCCGCCTCCTTCCCTCTGGTAACCACCGCACGATTGTCTGTGTCCAGGAGTTTCAATTTTATATCCCACATTTAAGTAAAATCATACGGTTCTTACCTTTTTCTGATTAACTTAATTTCTCTTAGCATAGTATTCTCAAGTTCCATCCATGTTGTCGCAAATGGCAATATTTTGTCTTTTCTTATGGCTGAGTAGTATTCTACTGGGTTTTTTTAGAGGACACAAAAATATCAGAATTATCTTCTGGAGGGCGGGCCTCTTGTAGTACAGGCTTCCTCTGCTAGGTGAGTGTTCTAGAAACCCATCAGTACCAGTATATCAGCTGGTGAGAGGCTGCATCGGGCTTCAGTGAATTTTTTGGAAGACTCTTCTAATGCATTTGCCCGTTTCATGATGAGTGATTTATGAGCGCACCTGCCTACACCGCCCTGAGTGTTCAGCAGTTTTTGACCAAAAATGGCCTGACCCCCGTGCCCCTCCCCATTCAGCCAATCTCACCCCAAGCGACTTTTTGTTTGTTTGTTTCCCCAGATGAAAAATGTCCTCAAAGGGAAATATTTTGCTGATGTGGAAGATGTGAAACAAAAGATGGCAGAAGCACTAAAAGGCATCAAAATTGACAAGTTCACAAACTCTTTTGAGCAGCGGAAAAAATGTCTTGATAGGTGTATTGCATCAAATGAAGAATGCTTTGAAAGTGACTGAAATGTAAACATGTAAGAATAAATACACAATTTTTATAAACAAATTCTGGAGTTTTTTGGGGGGAGGGGGTTCCTCCTGGTGTATATCCACCACATCTTCTTCGTCCAGCTCTCTATCAAAGGACATTTTCGTTGTCTCCATGTCTTGGTCCCCGTGAATAACGCTGCAATGAACACAGGGGTGCACGAAAGTAGTTTTGACCTTGTGAACACCCAGAAACAGCCTCAGGGATCCCTTGGGGCCCACAGCCCACGCTTTAAGAACTGCTGAGTGAAGCTATGAGGGCAGCGGGGACGAACTAGAGAGAGATTCCCAAAGAGAAGGTGGTTCTTAATGGTGGGTCCTCCTTCCATGGCCAATGTGGACAAACCCATCTCCTGTTTGTTTTCAGGAGAGCAATTCCCTATAGTTATTCCCTGTTTTCCTGAACTATCCTGTTATCCTCTTTGTCGGCTTCTTTTTAATTTTTCTCCCCTGGTTCTTATTATTATCAACTTCTATTTAAATATACTTTCCACTGAACTTCTGTCTGCACTTGGATAGTCTGGCGCTGCACCGTGCTGGGCTGCACAGCGGGCACGGCCCCAGAATGCAGCTCTGAGTACCGCGCAGCACTCGCCCTACCTCCCCGAGAGTGCGGTCTGGGGGGTTAAGAGTCACAAATGATGAATTTTAGGATAATCCTGCGCAGACAGGCTCCCTGCTGGGACAGTTTCCTGCTCAGAGCTCCCAAGTGGGGCAAAGGGACTCACACTGCTTGAGGCACAAGGCGGGTCCACCCGATGAGTCTGCATCTTGGTGTGGGCACTTATAGCCCCTGGGTAGTCCTCCTGATACCAGGCCGAGGAGTCAAGCGAGGGCTCAAGGTTGGCCGAGGTGGAAGGCTCTGCAGGCTGATCTGTCTGCAGCCGGAGAGGCTGGGTCCTGGCAGGGCACGAAGAGTCTGCCAGGGTGGATGACACCGTCACCCAGCTGTCCACAGGCCTTCGAACTCAAAGGCACACACTGGGTGCCCCCGCTCCCTTCATGGCCCACCCCAGTCCTGTTCAGCGAGTGCCATTGGCTTAGAGAGCTGCTTCCAAAACTCAGTTCCTTACATCCCCACCCACCTTCCCAAGGGCCTGACTTTCCGGCATTCTGACTGACTAACTAGTTGCTCTAAGCCACCCCAAATTCCAAGTTCAACATTTCAAAAAAAAAAAAAAAGTCTCCCTAAAACTGGTCCCTAGGCCATTGAACATCACTAGCATCCACCTAGCTGCTTAAATGAGAAACCCTATTCACAATTCTAAAATCAAAAAACAGGCTGTGAAAACCACAGCCAATTTTTTAAGGTGTCATCAAACTCAACTGGCCACAAAACAAAACCTAACTTGAAAGACATGAGGCAGTTTGTGGTCTTTATTGGTCCTGCTTGGTGAGAAGATTTTTATATTTGGGGGCAGAAATATTAATGGGTTCGGGTATGAGCACCGCCCCACACGCACATGGGAGTGTTAATAGCCATACCTGTGCCATATGACTAACATCCTCCACATTCCAAATTCTGGCACTTACCGGGACCCTTGAGTTTGGCTGCGGGGCAGGGGCCCTGTAACTGGTGACCGAGTCCTCCCGATTCTTCCCTGCATGGGGTTCCTGGCGCTTGTCTCTGAGTGTCCCCGTCCCGTTACCACGGGTTGTCGCCCTCTGAAATCCCCCCCTTTTACGTTCACAGTAGTCTCTCGCCGGCTTTCCCGTTTCTCACCTGCCCCAGCAAACCTGCTGTGTCCGCGTTGGCTCATCGCACATTCACGCCGCTGAAGTCCAATCCCACCCCCGCTCTGTTCCAAGACACGGAGGCTCCCACCACGGAGCCATGGTGTCCACACTTCAGTCGCTCTAGGGCCGTCTTCTGGATTTTTGCCATATCCACATGCCAGCTGTACCTCTTCAGTTCTTTTAAGTTGACTCATTTTTCACTTATTTGCATAAGAATCTTATTTTCATTGCTGTGAATGGAAAACCCATATTACTCATCATAAACAGAAGGCAACCGCAAGTGTGAATACTAGAAAAACAAAACAATGAGAAACTATGTTTGCCAAAGAGACTGACCAGATACCTGCTTGCTCTCTTTATTGAAAGAGGTATTAAGAAGATCTAATATTTATTGAGAACTTACTATGGGCGAAGCACCTTCCTAAGCCTTCGCGTCTATTAACTCATTTAGTCTCCCCAACTGCCCTACGAGGTCCCTACTGTTTATTATTATTCCCATTTTACAGACGAGGAAACTGAGCCACAGAGAAGTGAAGTAACTTGTTGAAGGTCACACAGCCAGTAAATGGTATAATTGAAAGGACTGAAAGAAACTGAAAAGACAGTACATTTCTCTTTATGTGATTTGATGGTAATGGTAGTAAAGGACCTACTCTTCCAGAAACTCTGGCCCACTTGAGGACACTCACCTCTTTAGAATTTTTACAGTTGGGATCGCTTCTACCTTCCCAGCCTCCTCCCCTGTTGCAGGAACCTCTCCACCTCCAGCAGTTCCCTGGGCCACAGTTTGTTTGGAGTCGCCTGTCTTTGTTTGCACTGCCCAGGACACCCTTCTCCTCTTCTGAGCCCCAGTCACACTCAGCGCCAGTGACACACGCAGCATTCCTCAGCGACCACAGGCATAATAAATTGTCCCTTTGCCTTGAGCCCAGGACTCTCGGCTTATTTCTCTGTCCTGGAACTTTATTCTCTCTTATTCTTTAGAGCTGAGTAGGGCTTTGTAACCCCAGGTCCTTAGCAAGGTGTCATGCACAGAGTTAGTACGCAATACATAACGAAAATCAGATGGACCCACACCTACGGGGGTTTCTTCCAACATTCCATCACAGAACGAGGACATCCACATGTGCGGGGCTGACGGCGGCCTGTCATGATTGCGGAAGAAACTGTCCATGGGGCAGAATGAAGGAGAACAGGCGGAGAGGAGGAAGTGCCTGTGAGACGGGGCCAAGTGAACACCTGCCAGTGAGCAGTCAGCATGCCCGCGAGGACCTGGGTTTCTGTGCACAGACTGTTCTATTTGCCTTTCCTGGAAGCAGGTAAGGCCAAGGCTCTAGCAGCAGGTCGTGGCCAATGGCGAACGGCCATGCCTTCTAAATTCACCCGTGGTTTCCCAGAGGGCAGGTAGTTGGTTCTTATTTGCATAAACAGTATAGACAGACGCGGGGTTACCTGACACGAATAACGTGCCTCTGGGCTATATAGATCCAAGGATCACCCTGTGGTGATCTGTAATCCAGTCCGTTCTTGCTGCGCGGTGGATTCAGATGCCCGCGGCCGGGCACACTGGCCTGGGATCGCGCTCGACTTTGGTAGGCAGCCAGCACTGGGATGCGCAGTGACTCTCCGAAACTGCAACCCACCCTCCTGTCACGACCTCCGTCCGCGGATCGTCTTCGGGCGCCGTCACTGCTTTTTGGGGAAGAGTGGACTCCTGGAGCCTCACCGTTGGCTTAATTTAAACTTTCCCGCAAAGGTTTCGCGGCAGCCGTCTGGCTCCGCCTCCTGGGCCAAGTGGGCGCGGCCCACGTGAGTCCGGATCGCCAGCAGCAGGGGAGGTTCCGGAGCCCCGAGGGGGCGTGGTGGGCCCGGGGCTGTGGGCGGGCCCGGAGGGGGCGTGACGGGCTCGGTGCAGCGGGCGGGTCTGGGAGGAGCGGGGGGCGGGTCCTGCAGGGGCGGTCCCAGGAGGCAGCCAGGCTGAGCGAGCTGCAGGCCCGCCGCAGGCCCAGCGCGCCACCATGGTGCTACAGTCCCCGCGGGCGCGGGGACCGCTGCAGCAGCAGAAGCCGCCGAGGAGGAACGGTAGCTGAGGCCCGGGTCTCCGGATCGTGGGCCCGCGATCCCTCGCCGTACCTGAGCCCCGATCCCTCCTCCCTGCCTTCCCCGGGCGCGGCGGCGACACCGCCGGACGATGCGCGCCCGCGGCCGCACCGGAGGCTGAGCCCGCCGCCCAGCGCTCCGCCCGCACCCTCACGGCCGTCCTCGATGGCCTTACCGAGCTCTGAGGGCGCGGCCGACAGGCCGGTATCCCCGGCCCCAGGGGCCCCTGCCGGCTCGGCGTCGTCGTCGTCCGCCTCCTCCTGTGGCTCGGCCTCGGCGGGCGCGGGGCTGTGGGCCGCGCTGTACGACTACGAGGCGCGCGGCGAGGACGAGCTGAGCCTGCGGCGCGGCCAGCTGGTGGAAGTGCTGTCCCAGGACGCCGCCGTGTCCGGCGACGAGGGCTGGTGGGCCGGCCAGGTGCAGCGGCGCCTGGGCATCTTCCCCGCCAACTACGTGGCGCCGTGCAGCCCGACCGCTCTACCAGCACCGCCGCCCGCCCGCTCGCCACCGCGGCCCGGCTCTCCCGTGCACGTCGACTTCGAGCGGCTGGAACTCAAGGAACTCATCGGCGCCGGCGGCTTCGGGCAGGTATACCGCGCCACCTGGCAGGGCCAGGAGGTGGCGGTGAAGGCGGCCCGGCGGGACCCGGAGCAGGACGCGGCGGCGGCAGCCGAGAGCGTGCGGCGGGAGGCACGGCTCTTCGCCATGCTGCGGCACCCCAACATCATCGAGCTGCGTGGTGTGTGCCTGCGGCAGCCCCACCTCTGCCTGGTGCTCGAATTCGCCCGCGGAGGAGCGCTCAACCGCGCACTGGCCGCCGCCAACACCGCCCCGGATCCGCGCGCCCCCGGCCCGCGCCGCGCGCGCCGCATCCCTCCGCACGTGCTGGTCAACTGGGCGGTGCAGATCGCGCGCGGCATGCTCTACCTGCACGAGGAGGCCGTGGTGCCCATCTTACACCGGGACCTCAAGTCCAGCAACAGTAAGTGGGACTGGGGCGGTGGGGGATAAGGGGACAGTACGCAGCCATGCCTCGCGCAGCCCACCCTGGTGCCAGTGCTGGGAGGGCTCTTCAGGCCCAGTGCCAGGTGGAATGAGGCAGGGGCCGCCCTGGTTGCCAACAGCAGCACCTCCCGCACAGGCCCTCCAGAAGTCAGAGGTCCGGCTAGACTCTTCGGTGACTTGCTTTGGGACAAGTGACACGTTAACCTTGATTTGTTGCTTTTGGGTGCCTTTTTAAAAAATGCGGATCAGACTTGATTGCAAACACCACTTGTAACATGCTTGGATCTATTGGAAACTTCATGGTGCTGTTTAGCCGTTGGCTACGAGTGTGGTTCGTTGATTTGGGTAGAACTTTGCAAACCGAGGCCCTTCCGTGGGTTGTGCGGGACCCCTGGCCCTCCTTCAGGCCTAGTGGTCTTCATCACAGCCCCTTGCCTTCAGCTTCACCAGTGCTTGTTGAGGTCGCTGTCCTCCCACTTTAAATATGGCTTCGTGTCCTTTGAGGTTTCCAAGGTCTTTTCATTCAGACGTCTCTGCTCATGAAGTGTGATTTTATTATTGGTGGGGCAGTTTGAATGTTGGTGAATAGCCTCCAGACAAGAAACACCAGTTTGCGACATCATGCACATTTGGGTTGATAAGAGTAAGTTCACTGTCCTTGCACAGCCACTTGAAATCCTGAAACCTGGCCTGTACCATTGACTTTCTTTATAAATCTGGGTCGATTTTCCAGATGTCAGTAAAGAACTTGACAGTTGAACTGAACACAAATTCTATTATATTTTGTCATGTACAAGAGCCAGGAGAATTGCTATTTGAAGTTGGTTCTTCGATATGGGAAGCCACTCAGTATTCTTAGAATGAGATGAAATCTTACGACAGATGAAAGGATGCAGTCAGAGCTGGCATTGCCTTGCCACAGCTGCGTGTCTCTCAACCTTGTAAAACCTGCTAGGACAGGAGCTAACTCAACTGGAAACATTGTCCTTCTCCAAGTCTGCAGAAAGAAGAGTGACAAGAAGATATGATACGTTTTTTATATGTTGGTGTAGATTTTTTTCCCTATTCAAATTCCTTCAGCCCTGAAATTTACTGGAAAATGACTAAGGTAGCATTTTGATTACAGGAAGGATAAATAATTTGTTGGTAACTACAGGCAAGCATTGAACACGTTTCTTTTGGGTTTTATTTTATGACTCCCACTTACCCTTTGCCGTATCATTTAGGTTGCAACTGCTTAAGGGACTGCAGCAAATTCTAACAAAATATGGCATAGCGAAGTGGCCGTGGTAGTTTTCTGTGTGTGTTAGAGTTCTGACAGCGGCCCCATGAAGGACTACAGAATTCTTTACTTTCGGACGGTGTATAGTAGATGTGGTACACATTTTAATGTCCTTATTTTTGTAAATGCTTCAAACCAGACAGTCTTGGCTACCTCTTGGTGCTTATTTTCTAAAATACACTTTTAATAAAATGTTTACCCTGCTGCCACAGAACGAGCCTGGGTGCCCTGTCCCTGTGTCCCATAAGCCCGTGCCTGCCCAGTGTTTTCCTCCGAACCAGGTATTGTAAGGAGAGCTGTGGCATCCTCGCTGGGCCCGTGTCTTAGCAATTGCAGTGATCCTGTGACACTCTCAGAACCTGGCATTCTACAAGTGGCTCTTGTTGCAGGACAGCAAATCACCAACACAGGCAAACGATTTGAGTTGCATTGGTCCCCAGACCAGAAAGCCTGTTTTGTTGGGTTGTAATGATACTCGGGGTCTATGTGAGTCTGTTCGCTAGTGTCTCTATAAGCATGAAAAGGAACATTAATCCATGTCCCAATCATAGACTTTTAAATATAAATTTAAAACTTTTAAAGAACTAATACCATTAAAGAGTAAAATGAAATAACATCACCGTGGAATAATAACTATGGTTAAATAGTTTTTATTGACACTGGAAAAACTTGTACAGTGGAATCCACTACTGGGCCCATGGCAGATATTATGTAATTTGAAGGTGATTATATGCTGCAACTTAGTTTTTGAAAGACTTTTCACCTTCAAAATAAATTGCCAAACTTCCTGGAGCATTTTAATTTTCTATAATTGTCAGGCAGGGTTGCCTTTGTATTAAATTTTTGCACTTTCCATTAAAAAGACTTAATTGGCTAGGTCATTAGCCTAGCCAAATAGTTATTACAATACGGCCATTAATTATAGTTCTTAAATTACCATGACATGAACATTTTGAATAGGACCTAAAATGTGCAAAGCACGGTGCCTCACACATTGCTTATCCTGGCTCTTTGGTGTAAATTATTCAAGTAATAAGTGCAGATAGTTTGGAATTCTCTTATGATAGGTGAAGTCATAACTTCTTATTCTATTACAGTGTGTTTTGTTTGACTTTATTGGTTATTTGCTTATGGGGGTAGTGACTTGATAATGTAAACAAGGTTTTAAAAATCAATATTGAATTTTTTTTTTTCTTAATTCTGTAGTCTACTCAGGTAACAAAGAGTCAGTATAAGACTACTTGGAACCAAGTGAGTGGAAACTATTGTTAAAAGCAAATGTTTAAATTTGTCAAAGGAAAATAAGAGCTCTTGATAGATTTTCTTTCCTCATTTCTCTTCGGTCTTTTTCAGTGTATCACACTGTTTGAGACAATTTTTATGTTGAAATGACACCTAATATGTTGTGATGGTGCAAGCGCTTTTGTCCCTTCTCAAACAGACAGCAAAAGATTGAAAGTAGAGCCAAATTTGCAAGTTTGAAGCGTCATTTACATTGTTAAAACATGCTAGGCCTCGTCACTCCCTGGATGAAGAATAGGTAGAAAACAGGTTGCTAAATCTGTATGCGGCACCTAGCTGACAGCCCAGTGCCACTTGGGGTTAGAGTTCTGGATATGGCCAGTTTTAATATACACTCAGGGAACAGAGGAAAATCATGGTGAGCTGCAACCCCTTTATTCAACACATTGTGAGCGTCCACTCTGCACCAGTGACTGCTGGGCCCAGGGTCCCAGTGCCAAACCAGACGACCACATCCCCTCTGGCCCAGGGCGTAGTCTGCAAAGAAAGGTAGACGGCAGCGGTGCGATGAATCGTTAGTACGTGCTCTCAAGAGAACAAGGCATGATGTGGGCAGGATGGTGCCCGCAGGGCGGAGGGTGCTGCTGGGGCCGGGGTCGGCAGCGGGGTCGGCAGCGGCTCCGGCTGCGAGGATGTGGCACGACCAGAGACATGGCAGGAGGAGGCAAGAGTCAAGCAAAGATCCAGGCAGGGGGAAGATGAAACCGGGGGAGAAGGCGGCGCTGAGGCGGGAGTGGAGAGTGCACAGGAGGTCAGCCGGGCGGGCCTGGCGGGGGGCGGCCCACCTGGGCCGCCTGGACGTGCCCTCGGAGCGCCGCCTGGCGCGTTGCGCGCGGAGGAGCCGCGCAGTCTGCCGTGTATGTGCACAGGCTGCTGCGGCCGCTCTGGAGGACGGACCCACGGGTGGCCCGAGCCAAGGCTGTCCTGGTTGGCCACCCTGGAGCAGACGCTGGAGCAGGCGCTGTCGGCCTGGCGGAGCGTGGAGTGGTGGCAGTGGTTTCCAGGAAGTCCCAGAGAGGAATGGAGATAAAAAGAGTACACTCTGTGAGCGGCTGAGGACGGGTCAAATTATGGCAATTTCATCAAAGTGTCTTGTTTATCCTGGCATAGTTTAGGACTGAAAGGAAGTTGCATGACATAATTATCATTCCTTTTTTTTTTTTTTAAGTTGCTTACTGTATTCCATCTTTTTTTGTAAAAGTAGAAAATAAACATTCCATGAGGAACTGAACCACAAATTTAGGTAGCTGCTTACTTTTATACTTTTTATTTCAACGACTAAGCAACTTTTTATGCTGATTATTTAGCCTCTGGGGAATAATTGTTATCTATATTATTATCAACAGCATCTATAATCTATAAATAGACATAGAGATCTATTATGAAATATAATTTAGAGCTCTAACTAAAAAAGAACTACAAAAGAAATCTAATTCTTTTTAGCTTTTCTCATTAATACAATGTACATAAAGGAACTATTCGAGAAAATTATAGCAAATGTAATCTCTAAGGTGCTTAAAAAGCTTTTAACAGTGACTTGGAGGAGCTATTAATTATGCTATGATCAGTTAAAAGACCTGTGCGTCTTCCTTCTCTGTCTGCCCCTTTTACATCCAGACGTGTAGCTTCATGCCGCCCTGGCCACTTCCTGTTCCGAGGGGCACGGGGAAATCAGCCAGGTGTCCCGGTGGTTACAGAGAGCTAATCTGCTTCTGCAACAAGATCGGCTCAAGGACAGGTCTTTAGAAGAACAGAAATCACAGAGGGTCACCCTCCCTTCCGCTTTGGTTCTCCTGCTTGGGTACTAAATAAATAGGCCCCTTCTCCTGTTTTATAGTTGGTGAGGGGGCAGGTATTTAGTCCTGGATCGGGCACACTGACTCTTCAGTGTGCACACCGGGTCGTTTCCATGGTCATTGTCAAGTCTGTCAGCACAGTGAAGGAAGAGGAGAGGGAGATCGCCCTCCCTTTCAGAAGGCCGTCTGGGAGCCTGCGTTCTCACGCCGGTGCGTACATGCTGAACTTCTCCAGACCAGCCAGTTACTGGGAGGAGCGTTGGTCTTTCTAGAATACTACAGTTTACTGGAAGTCACTCAGACCAATGCTTGAATATTGGTGTCATCATGTACGAGCTGTGTGACCTTGAGCAAGTTATATAACCTCATTGAACCTGAATTTCTTGATTTCTGATACCGTCTACTGAATCCCTCTCTTGGAGTGGACAGAAGTCTTGTAGAAAAAAAAAATCTATTTAATGTTTCTTTAACTCTTCAAAAGCAGCTGGGTAAATACTGGCAGGAAAGCATAGGGCTTTCTGAGGGAGCAGTGACAAGCTGGATGTGACTAGGAGGAAAGGCAGACATGGGGTTTTGTGGGCAGGAAGCAGGCATGTA